GAGTCCCTTGGACTGCAAGGCCATCCAACTGGTCAGTCCTAGAGGAGATCAACCCTGACTTCTCTTTAGAAGGCCAGATCCTGAAGAGGAAACTCAAAGACTTTGGCCATCTAAGGAGAAGGAAGGACTCCCTGGAAAAGAGCCTCATGCTGTGAACGATGGAGGGCAAAAGCAGAAGGGGACGACAGAGAAGGAGGTGGCTGGATGGAGTCACTGAAGCAGTCGGCGTGAGTTTAAATGGACCCCAGAGGATGGTAGAAGACAGGAAGGCAGAGAGGAACGTTGTCCATGGGGTCACGATGAGTTGGACATGACTTCACAACTAACAACAACAACACAAGAAATAATCACAGCTGTTTTGGAATGTAGGGAGGCCAGAAAATTTCCCCCAGCTGTTAAACCCAGCTGCAGACTCTGGTCTTACAGAATATGGAATAACAAGAGTTGGAAGGGACCTTGGAGGTCTTCTATTTCAACCTCCTGCTCAAACAGGAAACTCTTTCTGGACAAGTAACTGTCCAATCTCTTCTAGAAAGCCTCCAGTGACGGAGCACCCACAGCTTCTGAAGGCAATCCATTGGTTGATTGCTCTCACTATTAGTGTTAGTGTTAGGGTTCCTTCTATGTTGGATCACTCTTTGATTAGTTTCCATCTATTATTCCTTATCTTAGCGTCTGGTCCTCTGCAAAATAGTGCAACCCCCTTGTCTTTGTAAAATCCCTCAAATATTGGAAGGCTGCTATCATGTCTCTCCTGGTCCCTCTTGTCATTAAACTAGACATACCCAGTTCCTGCAATCCTTCTTCATATGTTTTAGCCTCCAGTCCCCCTCATCATCTTTGTTGCTCTTCTTTGCACTCTTTCTAAAGTCTCAACATCTTTTTTTTATATTGTGGTGACCAAAACTGACTGCAGGATTCCAAATGTGGCCTTACCAAGGCCTTATAAAGCAGTACTAATACTTCCCGTAATCTTGATTCTATCCCTCTGTTGATGCAGCCTAGGACTGTGTTGGCTTTTTTGGCCTTAACTGCAGATCAGCAGGTCCTGCTTGCTACTTTGGGGAGGTGGTTCACGGTCTGAGCTCTCTTGCATGCCTCAGCCCTGAACCAGCTCCAAAAAACAGCAAGGCCAGAGTTACACTGACATGGAAGAGTAAGAGACACAACATTCCTGGGTTAAAACCACACACAAACAGCTCTTTCTGAAATTAAATGCCAAAAAGAAATCTTTGTAGTTGCAGTTCATGAGGTCTGCAGCACAAGGCTTTCCCCAAGCCAGCTGTATATTTCTAGCTCTTTTATCGCTTTTTTGATCTCAAGAGACAACACTTTCATCTTTCAAGTGCATCTTCAGTCATAAGTGTTTTAAAATATTCAAGGCAAGCTGCTTCTTATTTCTAAATTGGTGAAGCTTTTCACAAACAAAAGAAGAAAACAAAAAAACTAGCAAACAGTAGAGTAAGATACATAACTTTGAGAAAGAAAAAAAGGTTTCTACTAAGCTAAAACTCTTCTATTTATTACTGTTGGGATCTGTAAAATGATGGCATACAGTAAGTCCTCTAGTTACAACACCAGGGGACCACATAGCTTGGCCACAGCAATCCAGACAGTCCCAGCTGTCGTGGTAATCCCAAAACACCTGGGTCATTAAATGGAAGCAGAGAGAAATCCCTTCATAACTCCAAACAGTCGCTGAATGACTGGCCATAACTCAAGGACTATCTGCTTTGCTTTCCTACTTTAATGTTCATCTAAAGTGATTCATGTCAGCTTCAACAGGAACTGCGACTTATCTGATCCATCAGGACAGACAACTTCTGACAAAGGGGATTTAACCAAGAAATCAAAAAACTGCTTGGCAGTTGAAACTCTCTTTCTTAAAGTGAAACGAGATGGGCGGTTCAAACTGAGCTTCCTTTGTTGAAGCCATTCAGATTTGGATGCCTGTCATAAAACCTATAGCAGTATTTGGCCTTTTGAAGATTCCCTGCATGAGCCCAGCTAGCCAAATATTCTAAGGAAGATTTTGAATCATGTGAGTATATAAAGATTGATTTCAAGGAAAAAGAAAAGCAATGTGTTGTTATCTAGATGTACTGTATTTTTCGGAGTATAAGATGCACCTTTCTCCCCCCTCTAAAAGAGCATAGATATGCTGGTGCGTCTTATACACTGAATACAGCCATTTTTGGCCTCCCAAAGCTTGGCCCCCGTATTCTATTTTTGTGAAAAATGGGCAAAAACTGGGCTGGTTTTTGTGCAAAAACGAGGTCGTTTTTCCCTTCCTCAGCTTTGCTGAAGCCTACAAAGTGCTTCTGGGGGCCAGGGAGGACAAA